AAGCACATATAAGTAGTTATCCGAAAAGCAATTCACTTACGATTTATCGAATAAATGGAAATTAATGAAATTACATTGTTATTTATTTTGTATAAATAAATTTTGAATGTCAATCGACTGTTCATATGTAGATAGAATTCTAAAGTTCGTTTAAATTAAGGCCTATGTATTGATTGATTAATATCATTTATCTAGCAGTGTACCGCTATCTAAGGTACCTACATATTTACTGCTAACTGTAGTATTACTTAATATTTATTAATTGATGATGGTGATTCTGAGATATTGATGTTTCTGGCAAAAACGTTGATGTACCGTGAAACTTACCAGAAAGGCTGTTTTCCATGATAAATAATTACAGTCGAACTTTTCTAATCTGAACATTTATACGTAACTCGAAATTTTTTCTAACTGAAGATTCAAGAGCGGGTTCTAGATTACCTATAAATATACTTAAATTGTTACTTTAATTGGAATTTTATCTTTTTCTTAAGAAAAATCTGTTGAAGCTATTAAAAAACAATGCTCAGTACTATTTTATGAAAAATAGGAAAAAAAAAAGTAGTGACGTTGGGATCTTAAGGAAAAGACAACACGAACGAAGTACTTATATTGTCTGGCATCGTGATTTGAAATTGTAAGGGTTTTTTTTTTGCTCTGGGCTTAACAACTGCAACATACGATATGTGTCTTCGTAACAAAAATTAAAGATTGCGACGATTAAGTAGAAGTTTTATTTAACTAAAATTATATTTAACTTGAACGGTTCGAGTTAGGAATTTGACTGTACATATGTAGATTAAGTGCCTGTAGGAGTTGTATTAAAGAGGAATTAACTTTCTAGGCCAGAATATTCAAAACTATATACATATTTAAAATTTCTTAAAATGCCAAAATGGACACTGACATAACGAAGCACGAAAATTTTCATTAAAACGTTTCGCTTCCAGATGTGATTGATTCTGGGAAACGGAACTATTAATGGAGAATGATTAGGTTGTAATTTTGTGTTGTATGTTTCATCTTTCAGTAAACTTCCTAGATTTCCAATTTGTGCGTCGAAGAATTTAAAAAGAATTTACTGTATACTAAGACCTCATAATGTCAGCAAAAAAATGTTTAGTTTTGTGAATTTTTAAACGTGTGGTAATTTAATTCCATGCTATTCTGTGAACAGGTGGATGGGTGTATATTGCTGATTGACTCGTTTTTGTTTGAAAACATCAGATATCTACACTAGATTTTTCTCAACGCAATTTAGTGCATATATAGTTTCCTAATAAGAAGTGTTTTCGTTGAAAGTAATACAGACATATATGGGTACCTATTGAATATCCCAGCTGCTAAGAATTTGAAGTGTTTGGATATCTGTTTGCTATACTATTTCATTAAAAGGAAAAGAAAAATTGAGAGTTTCCAGGACATATACATAAGATGTATTTTAAAATTAGTTAGAAATACACCGAAGTATCTATTACAAGAAGAAACAAAAACGAAAAAATTAGCTAAACAGATCAAAATTAGTTATAATATCCTTGAAGTTTTTAAAAAGACCAGAGCAAGAAAATGATTTTAAGCAATCATCTGAACCCACTAGCAGTGTGTACGATATATTGAATAAGTTAAATAAATGATTCCGATGAAAAATCATTTTCATCATCATAAGGTCGTCAATCCTAAGACCGGTAGGACACGCACCTCAACCCTTTCCTATCCTGAGCTAATTTTAGCATTTCCCCAAAACTAAAACAACTATTTGCGAACAGTAATCTAATCTAAGTCTACTTTTACCCCTACTAACTCCCGTTTCTGCCTGTAATATGTCTCTGACTAGACCTTCATGTCTGAGAAGGTGTCCTACCAACCTATTTCGCCTATTTCTTATTGACTTACATAGAGTCCTCTGTTCTCCTATTCTTTCTAATACCTCTTCATTTCTAACCCTTTCTATCCACTGTATCCTCATCATTCGCCTGTAACACCACATTTCGAACGCTTCTAACCTTTTTTTTCCGCCGCGCCCTCCGTCCATGTTTAAACATACACCTTTGACAATCTTTTTCAAATTTCTAAATAAACCCTTCGCGAGCATAGAAGTGACTTGATCCTGCGCTATCCTTTGCTTTATATCCCTACTACTCCTTCCGTCTTGACTTATTTGACTTCCTAGATACCTAAAATCAGCCACTTCTTCTAATTTTTCGTCTCCTATCTTTATATTCGCTCTTTCCCTACTTTTTCTTCCCTTGCATACCAGTATTTTTGTTTTACTTTTATTTGTTTTCATACAGTACTGATCTGTCAGTACCGCTTCTATTTTATTTAAAGCTATCTCGAAGTCCTCCTTGCTAGATGCTAATACTGCTATATCATCTGCAAATCTAAGCATACTAATCGTTTGTCCCTGTACAGGTATATCTATCCCTACAGTTGTACCGTCTTTAATGATGTTGATCGCGTCTTCGAAGTATAGATTAAAAAGTAGCGGTGATAGTGTGCATTCTTGTCTGACTCCCTTCCTAATATTTACTTCTCTACGTTGATAAAAATAGCAGCCCTAGACAAGATTGTAGTGGAACTGCGTCAAAGTCGTCCTAATTAAACGGTGGCCAACATCAGTGATTAAATTAAATATTTTCGGAAAATCGTTTACGAATTATACCCGACAATTTTATTATCATATTATTTAGGGTACTAATCCATTATAAGTGTAATATATATATATAGTATAATAGATATACATTCAATACTTTATATTTATTTAATAACGTCATGCAGGATACCAGGTTAAAAGTCCCCAGGTAGATACTTAGATTACACATTAATCGTAAGTTACTGATACTGTAGAATTCACTGGAATTTTACAAGAAAATGTATTGCACAGAGGACTGATTATTTATTTATGAGTAAAACGCTGATTCCTATAACGAGTTCTTATCACCACATAGTTTTGTCGTCATTTCACACCTTTTGGTTATGATTTATTGATAAGGTATTTAAAATTTTCTCTCAACATTATTCTCATAGTATATTTACAGTGATTGATAATATATCGTTTTATAGATTCTACAAATTCTGATTCCATTACAAAATAAAATAACAAACTCGTAACATCACCGACTGATTAATTTTAGCGCCATACGGTATCGATAACGATAACGTAGGACATCGCTGCAGTTTTTGAAGCAGTTGAGAGAAGAATTTTTCGTGATGGATTTTTAAAAAGCGAATTTCAAATTGCTTTTTAAAATGAATGTGACCCTAACCTTTACTGGACATAAATTGTTTATCATTTTCAATTATATATGAATGAATTAAAAACTTTCAATTATGCTTAAAGCCTAATTCATAAAAACAAATTGTTGAATAATTCTACAATGTAATTGTGATATCTCCAAAGCAAATATACGTGATGTGTTGTTGGAAAAATGGAGTTTTAATATCATTTATTATGAAATAGTAAATTTTATTATGTGTTACATAATAATTTTTATTACATATTATAAAACGAAAGTGTAAAAATTAAAATTTAACACGGAAGCTGTTTGAAATTATCTCTCATGTTTGGATTAGGTACATGCAAATGATAAAATTACAAGTTCTAAACTAAACATCAAACATCTGTTTTGCATAAACATAACAGAATCTCTTCATTCTGTTGACAAAATTTCAAAAAGGATAAAGATTTATCAAGGCTAATAAGATTATTATTCTTCTAAATTATAATTTCTTATCGTCTAAGTTTACTTAATAAATTCTTATTTGGTAGTTGTATTATGCAAATATATCAAATTAATCGAATTTTTGAGAATTATTTACATAACTTGACTGCCCCAACCTTATTGTAATTCAATGTTTCTACACAGATGGTCTTAAAATTAAAAAAGAAAATGGATATCTACGGCCCGTTCTAAAATAAAAAGTTTATCGCTGGTGTCATAAAGCTCAAATGATTAAAATTGAATAAAGAAAATCATCCTTTACCTTATGATTCTTATCAAGATAATTTCTATTCTAAAGGAAAATTTCAATAATTACGTCTTGACATGATAATGTTAAAATAAATATTTTCATCAAATATTTATTGTGGCATTCTTTTAATTCTAGTTGTGTTATTATGATTAATTTAAAGTAAAATTAGTTGATAATACTTAGTGATATTTTTAGCATGATGCCTATAATTTTAAATTTATCTGTTTATCTTAAATAAATATAAGTACGCTTTTGTTAGATAACCTACATGTTTATGGGCTATACAGGGTGTTTCCGAAATAAGTAGCAAGCTTTCGAGTGTGTTAACTAGATGTAATAGGGAATCGAAAGTAGTGTGGTTATGGAACAAACACCTAAGCAGCTTGTAAGAAAAGCAGACGAAGTTGCTATCCGAAGCCGGCTCTGGGCGTGAATTGGCAACGTACAGAGAAATTGCGCTAACAATTAAGCAGCTACATCGACGAAAAATGTAAAGACTAACGGTTGTGTTATGTAAAGTCAATATCAATAGCTTACTACTACTATGCTACTACACATAATAAACTTTTTAGACACCCATTGCGATAACAATTAATTAAATAACTACTTCACTCATCACTGATATTACGCACTATTTTGGACTGACCTATGACACTGACACATTGTCCTACTTCAAATGATTTCCGTTGTCTACATACATACATATTACAAATGTACAACGTCAAAATAACAAATAATTATTCTAGGCTTGCTGTAAACGTTAAGATCACCAATCAAATTTAATCTAATCTAACAAATAACAGACAATACATAAATACAAAAATACAAAAGAAATACAACACGGACGCGGCGTTGCAATCTTTTCAGGACCGGACCGTACTTTCAAATACGTTTTTCTCGAAAACGGTGGACTTTCGGACCACCAAACATTTACTTAGTTTTCTTATTTTATAGTTCCTTATCACTTCCTGTAAGAGTGCTACTTGCTACACCCTGTATAGTATATACTATAAACAATATTGTTACAGATTCTGGCTGTAACGTATGTACCAGTGGAGGGATTCAACAATTCTCAAGAACAGTTAAGTTCTGGGCCCATACTGGTCTTGGACAAAAAAACGCTTTACATAACAAATCTCAAGTATAACACAAAAATCGCGTCTAACTTTTGGGTAGCTTATGGGAAAAATATTACCGTTGCGCCAAACGAAGAAGGCCTTTACGAGCCTTTTACTGGCTACGGAGGAGAAAATATCTATATAACATTGCCGTATCCTTTATCAGAAAATGCTCCAACATACTTTGGAATATGGGAGAATAAAACCAAAAGGGCTGTTGCCAGTACCACAATTCCCAAAAATGTTGCAGTACCCGAAGCGAAAGGATATGACAGAAATGATGTGAGTCAAAAATAAAAAGTACAGTTAGAATTCATTTTATAATTTTGGGGGAAGTATTTATAAAGTATTAATAGATAAAAAACATACGAAAATGTTTTGTTTTTTGTTTTATTTATTTGTATGATTTTGTGCAGAAGAGATATGAAATAATTGAAATTGTTAGATGGAATTAAAGAAACGTTAAACAATTTAAAAACCAACAGCTTTTCAGTAAACGTAAATTTTAGGCAGAAGGTAGAAGAATTATAAGGGTTAAGAAATGTTGTCCGTTGGGAGAAGCATTTTCCGAACAGGGCTGTCAGAAAACCACTCAAGGATTTCACCCTGCATTCGAAATATTGGATAACAATAAAACGCACGTTGACGATACACCCTTGAAAGAAGGATCGATGAACATCCAGCCGTTTTATAGTATTACTCCATGTCCAAAGTAAGAATTTCTTTAATGTGTGCGTGTGTAGTAGGGTGGCCGATTTTTTCTAAATATTATTTCCTTTCTCGATTCTGCATGAAACAGACTAACGTAAGAAGCGACTGTTATTTAAAAATCTTTAAAAGATTGTAGTATATTTTACTTATATATACTAACAATTGTTGAACAATCCTTAAAAAGTTTTTAAACAAATCAAATTTTGGGTAAACCAATTGCACAAAATCAAGAAGTTTCCTTCTATTTCACACGTTTTATAATTATTACAAAAATATATGTTCCTGGTTAGTGTTTTGTCAAAATTTTCAGACGTGGATTACGATTTCCAATTCCTTGATTCTCAGCAGCACGCCGTTTTTATTCTTTGACATTTTGTTAAAATTTCTATAGATTTTCCCAACAATCAACAATGTAGCAACCATTTTTATCCTGGAATTCAATTTGTATTTTTGTGTGTGTATAGTTTTTGCAATATTTCAATAGGAATATTACCTCAAATATTGCAATATACGTTTATTTTAGAGCAGGTATATCCCCTGAGTTATTTTCTCACTGTAGTCACTAACGGAGAACCACATGAACACCGTTTAGGGATTCCCCAAAGGTTATGGTTTCCTACTTTAACATTGCCATAAGGGCGATAGGATAATAAATACACTAACTAAAAGCGCGAATACAGAGTAGTGAACGCCATCTGTTGCAATTTACTACTTATCGTAGAATTCATAATATTCTTAATAATAAGATTCTTTGTTAATAAAGATGTGGCATTATAACTGACACTCACCATTTGACTAATATTTAATTTTATTGTAGGGGAGCACTCATTCCAGGTGTCGATTCGTTTATTTTATTGAGCAACGGTTCACTTGTTATTCCGGATATCAAAAAAATCTTGACGCAAGATGAATTTTGCATCGAAACTGTTTATATGGAGTTCGAAAATTCGTCAATGTCATGGACCACAACGGCCTTCACCTGCTTCCAGGGCGAAGTGCTTCGCGGCGGGAATGGATTCCTTATAGTTATAGGAATAGGTAACAATAAAAACGAAAAAACAAAGACAATAAGTGACACAGTTACAAATCTGTCGCAACCAAAAACGATTTAAATGTTTGACTACGGTTTTTTCACTATTCAGGGTGTCATTTATTTTGAGACAGAAAAATATCTATCAAAACTTAAACGCTTTCAAAGAGGAAATTAGCTGTTGAATTTGAATGTGATCTTGAGCTTGATCTTCAATATTAATTGAATTCAATATTAATTGAAGATCAAGTGATTTTTTTTTAATTGGAATAGATACTTATTTATGGTTCTGGCAAGAGAAAAATAGAAAATTACGTAATCAGAAATATCTTTGAATTTGATTTGCTCTTAATTTTTGAGTCTATACTTATGGCAAATTAAGAACAACCACATATCCAACATTTTCATGAATATTACATATAAATGAAATTATGAGTGCTATCAGCACAGCGCAAAGTAGTATTACGTAGTTAGTATCAGCAATTTCTAATGCTGAAGTGTACGATGTGTTGCATACCTATTTACAAACAATTCCTTTAAATTTAATTTTTCAAACAATTTTTAATACAAAGAAAGTAATTAAACAAATTGTACACAAAAGTGAATTTCAACCACTCGAAGCAATGGTGCTATCAGTTTCCAGGTCACAGTGATTGATAGGGTGGAAGAATGTATAATAAAAATATCTTAAATGTTCAGCCTAAAACATTTCCAGTTAAAAAAAAGACTTTACCTACACACGACCTTAAATATCAAGGCCGAAATCGTACTCAAGGTCATCGGTGATTATTCATTTGAAACGTACATTTTTTATTTAAAACTTTGTCGTTTTGGTACCTAATCCCAAAATTCATGACTGTCTTAACATGTTTCTTTTTTTTTCCAGGGATAATTGTATCAATAATTTTTCTACTTGCAACCGCGTCAATTTTTATCTTTTGCAAAGACGAAATGTTGCACTCAGCGAGAGGAAAATCAATTGCGTGGTTTTCGATTTCTGTGGCAATATCGTTTGTGTGTTTGGCGATTGACTACATTTTCACAATACGCGGTACCTTCTGCCACGTAATGGGTGAGAATTAATTATTTTTGTTACTTTTTGATTGGTTTTTTCCCTTAAAAAAATTATACTCGGCTCTTGACACTTTTATATTTCGATACCAAGTACTTTTTCTATCGATTCTATGAGCATGTATCGATAAAAAGTACTCCTATCGGTACTCAGTTGATTCAAGGACAGTCTGTCACATTAATGGACCCATCAGTAATTGAAAGTACATTTATTTATTTCAGGATTTATTTTCCAATTGTGTTTAATGTCGTCGTTTGCCTGGTTATTGGCAATAACATGGGAAACATTAATGAAAATAAGGTAAAACTAAGTCAAAAATGCTTTACTAACACCAATGCACCGCGCCGGCTTGCATCACACTAACACGTTGCTTTTTCTGCAAAAGGGCTTTCAGATTCCAAGAAATGAACTGTAACCATCACCGGATGTTTTGTAGGAACTATAACAATTCGAAATTCACCAAGGACAGCTCGCGTTTCAGAATTTATTTGACTTTGGTCATCACGCTGTCCATCGCGGTTCCGTTTTTATCGGTGATTGTCCATCATTCTGTCGCTATACCGAATGTTTTTTTCAAAGCCGACTCAGGAGTAAACAGTTGCTGGATTGATGGTAAGTTTTCTAAATAAATTTTCTCAATTTATTGCAGGATTTTACGTTTACGTAAATAAAATTTTGATAGTGGGGCATTTTCTGAATGAGATTGATACATTCTATGAAAATGTTTATTTTTGTTTTGCTATTAAATATATTGGTAAAGGTCTAGACGATGGCCTCCACCCCCGAAGGGGGTGGGGAGAGGGGATAAGAAGAGGAGGTCTCCCCCACCACTGTACCATAAAAAGTTCGTAGCGGTCTCACCCCCATAAAAAGTTATGGGGGTTCAAAGTTAATAAATATGCCTATTTTTATACATTTCTAGGCATGTAAATATTTATATAGTCATTCTTGAACAATATTCAAAGGTAAAACTAATGAAAAATACATAAAAATATTGAGATTTAAATATCTTTATCAATAGGGTAGGTTAGGTTAGGTTATCGGGTTTTGTTCAAGTGACCACTCTCTTTCGATCCCCCAATTCCATCCGCTTGAAAATAATTATTTTATTGAATTTTATTTGAATTATAGTGTATGAAAATTGTCAAAATAATCAACTTTCAACCCCTATAACTTTTTATGGGGGTTAGGCTGCCGCAAACTTTTTATGGGGTTTTACTCATGTGACCACCCTCTTTCGATCCCCTCTACCCCCACCCCCTTCGGGGGTGGGGAACCATTATCTAACCCCTATAACTTTTTATGGGGGTGAGACCACCACGAACGTTTTATGGTACAGTGATGGGGGAGACCTCCTCTTTCGATCCCACCCACCTCCACTTTGGGGGTGGGGGCCATCATCTAGACCTTTACCAATATATTATATGTAAAGAACGAAAACATTAATGTTCTTGTAGTAAAACTAGAATAGTTTTGTTTGCTTTCGAATAGAATGGTTATACACTAACGACAATTTGATTAATTAATTAATCTAAATTACGTTTAGATAATGCGATCGCGTAAAACATTGTGCCCATTTGTGTAATGTACTCACGATAAAATGGGATGAATATTTATTAAAGAAAATACAATTTCAGGAGATAAAAAGCCAGTCCTATATTTATATGTCCCGATTATTGCCATCATTATTTTTAATGTAATTTGTGCGGTATATATGAAATATCAATTGGTTAAACTGGAAAAACAGGGAATTGCCAATCAAACCGATATTTCCTGGATAACTATGAAGGATGATCTTAAGTCCATGTAAGTTACTATTTCTCGAATTTTAATCATATCTTATATCACAACAAAAAATCAATCTTTAAATAAACTTTAGCACGAAAAAAGGAACACAATTAATTTACCATGGAACTGTTAACACAATTCGAATTCTTAGTATATTTTCTTTGAAAATAGTCGATTATAAAGGTTTATCTTTTAAGTCAATTCATGATGCAAAACCAGTGTCGTGATATCTCCTGATCATTTATGTTTTGCTCTTGGTCATGTGACAATAGCTTATAATTTTGGTCTTGATCATAGTCTTGTCAAACGTTCAAAACCAAGACAAAACTACAAGACTTAACACAAATCTGCAAAGTCAATACTATTTTTGTTCATCGCCACATTGTGGATTTTTGAGTTTGCCAGAACGTATTGTGTTTGTTCTTGCATTGTGGCTGAACCTGAGTGCCTAAATACCATCAGTATTTGCATCCACAATTTACTCACACACTTAGCTCGTAAAAATTCGCATTCAAAGAAAATAAAACCTTGTCATCATTATCATCATCATACCAAATCCTTGCATTTCTCTACAACTAGAACATCCAACATCCTTAACTATTTAGGAGCAGTAATTTAAGCGAGGTCTACCTCTACTCCTCTTAACTTTTCTTTACTTCTAATATGTCTCTAAGTAGAACCTCCTAACAACCTATCTCGCCTATTTCTTATTGACTTCCATAGTGACCTCTGTTCTCCTATCCTTTCTAGCCATACAACTTTAACAATTTTTTTGCGACTCGCCTCTACAGTTCCTTCCATCCTTAGTTATCTAACTTTCAAGATACCGAAAATCAGTCATTATATAATTTTCTTTACTAATTTTTCGTCTTCTATCTTTATATTCGCTCTTTCCCTACTTTTTTTCCCTTGAACACCAGGTTTACTTTTATTTATTAGATGCTAATACTGCTATATCTGCAAATCCAAGCATACCAATGTTTTGCCTAAATAAAACCTCACGTGCTATAAAAATATTTTCAGGTTTCGATCTTGTTACTTGGTACTGTGTATAATGAGCTTATCCTGGGTTGTCGAAATAATTTCATTCTTTTCCGAGTCAACACATCCAGCATGGTATGCGATCGATATGATCACATGCCTTCAGGGTTTTTTCGTATTCGCTGTATTCGTTTTACACCGACCGATAAAGGACAGGTTATGGGCCACGAAGAGAAGGATCCAGTCATGGCACTGGAAGACACCGCCGAGTTCTCCACAAAACGTTCAACTGAACGACTTTGTTTACCCCAACAATTCAACAGCTCTCTTAAACGACAACAGCAACGACAACATTATAACTGACGAAGCCACTGCCAATAATACGAATCATTTGAAGGGATAACTGAACGAGTTTTAACGAGTTCACAGTATTATTTTTTTTGTACCTGGAGCCGAATGGGATTAGTCCAGGATCGGATGTATTATGTTTTTGAAGGCTTAATAATATTTATTGCATTTTTCATTACTCATACTAGTTAAGGGAAAAACAGAAAAGGTCTATAAATGCAAGGGACTTCCTTCAGCTAGAGTTTGTTTCTTACTTTATTTGATGAGAGACAAGAGATCAAAAATGAATAAAAAAAAAGCCCGTTAGGCAATTTTGCTAATTTTTTATTTTTTCAATTGATAAACTAATAAAAGAATAATAAAACAAAGTGAAAANTAGATACCTAAAATCAGCCACTTCTTCTAATTTTTCGTCTCCTATCTTTATATTCGCTCTTTCCCTACTTTTTCTTCCCTTGCATACCAGTATTTTTGTTTTACTTTTATTTGTTTTCATACAGTACTGATCTGTCAGTACCGCTTCTATTTTATTTAAAGCTATCTCGAAGTCCTCCTTGCTAGATGCTAATACTGCTATATCATCTGCAAATCTAAGCATACTAATCGTTTGTCCCTGTACAGGTATATCTATCCCTACAGTTGTACCGTCTTTAATGATGTTGATCGCGTCTTCGAAGTATAGATTAAAAAGTAGCGGTGATAGTGTGCATTCTTGTCTGACTCCCTTCCTAATATTTACTTCTCTACGTTGATAAAAATAGCAGCCCTAGACAAGATTGTAGTGGAACTGCGTCAAAGTCGTCCTAATTAAACGGTGGCCAACATCAGTGATTAAATTAAATATTTTCGGAAAATCGTTTACGAATTATACCCGACAATTTTATTATCATATTATTTAGGGTACTAATCCATTATAAGTGTAATATATATATATAGTATAATAGATATACATTCAATACTTTATATTTATTTAATAACGTCATGCAGGATACCAGGTTAAAAGTCCCCAGGTAGATACTTAGATTACACATTAATCGTAAGTTACTGATACTGTAGAATTCACTGGAATTTTACAAGAAAATGTATTGCACAGAGGACTGATTATTTATTTATGAGTAAAACGCTGATTCCTATAACGAGTTCTTATCACCACATAGTTTTGTCGTCATTTCACACCTTTTGGTTATGATTTATTGATAAGGTATTTAAAATTTTCTCTCAACATTATTCTCATAGTATATTTACAGTGATTGATAATATATCGTTTTATAGATTCTACAAATTCTGATTCCATTACAAAATAAAATAACAAACTCGTAACATCACCGACTGATTAATTTTAGCGCCATACGGTATCGATAACGATAACGTAGGACATCGCTGCAGTTTTTGAAGCAGTTGAGAGAAGAATTTTTCGTGATGGATTTTTAAAAAGCGAATTTCAAATTGCTTTTTAAAATGAATGTGACCCTAACCTTTACTGGACATAAATTGTTTATCATTTTCAATTATATATGAATGAATTAAAAACTTTCAATTATGCTTAAAGCCTAATTCATAAAAACAAATTGTTGAATAATTCTACAATGTAATTGTGATATCTCCAAAGCAAATATACGTGATGTGTTGTTGGAAAAATGGAGTTTTAATATCATTTATTATGAAATAGTAAATTTTATTATGTGTTACATAATAATTTTTATTACATATTATAAAACGAAAGTGTAAAAATTAAAATTTAACACGGAAGCTGTTTGAAATTATCTCTCATGTTTGGATTAGGTACATGCAAATGATAAAATTACAAGTTCTAAACTAAACATCAAACATCTGTTTTGCATAAACATAACAGAATCTCTTCATTCTGTTGACAAAATTTCAAAAAGGATAAAGATTTATCAAGGCTAATAAGATTATTATTCTTCTAAATTATAATTTCTTATCGTCTAAGTTTACTTAATAAATTCTTATTTGGTAGTTGTATTATGCAAATATATCAAATTAATCGAATTTTTGAGAATTATTTACATAACTTGACTGCCCCAACCTTATTGTAATTCAATGTTTCTACACAGATGGTCTTAAAATTAAAAAAGAAAATGGATATCTACGGCCCGTTCTAAAATAAAAAGTTTATCGCTGGTGTCATAAAGCTCAAATGATTAAAATTGAATAAAGAAAATCATCCTTTACCTTATGATTCTTATCAAGATAATTTCTATTCTAAAGGAAAATTTCAATAATTACGTCTTGACATGATAATGTTAAAATAAATATTTTCATCAAATATTTATTGTGGCATTCTTTTAATTCTAGTTGTGTTATTATGATTAATTTAAAGTAAAATTAGTTGATAATACTTAGTGATATTTTTAGCATGATGCCTATAATTTTAAATTTATCTGTTTATCTTAAATAAATATAAGTACGCTTTTGTTAGATAACCTACATGTTTATGGGCTATACAGGGTGTTTCCGAAATAAGTAGCAAGCTTTCGAGTGTGTTAACTAGATGTAATAGGGAATCGAAAGTAGTGTGGTTATGGAACAAAAAAAATTTTAAGAAAACCAGACGAAGTTGTTATCGGAAGCCGGCTCTGGGCGTGAATTGACAACGTACAGAGAAATTGTGCTAACAACTAAGCAGCTACTAAGAAAACCAGACGAAGTTGCTATCCGAAGCCGGCCCTGGGCGTGAATTGGCAACGTACAGAGAAATTGCGCTAACACCTAAGCAGCTTGTAAGAAAAGCAGACGAAGTTGCTATCCGAAGCCGGCTCTGGGCGTGAATTGGCAACGTACAGAGAAATTGCGCTAACAATTAAGCAGCTACATCGACGAAAAATGTAAAGACTAACGGTTGTGTTATGTAAAGTCAATATCAATAGCTTACTACTACTATGCTACTACACATAATAAACTTTTTAGACACCCATTGCGATAACAATTAATTAAATAACTACTTCACTCATCACTGATATTACGCACTATTTTGGACTGACCTATGACACTGACACATTGTCCTACTTCAAATGATTTCCGTTGTCTACATACATACATATTACAAATGTACAACGTCAAAATAACAAATAATTATTCTAGGCTTGCTGTAAACGTTAAGATCACCAATCAAATTTAATCTAATCTAACAAATAACAGACAATACATAAATACAAAAATACAAAAGAAATACAACACGGACGCGGCGTTGCAATCTTTTCAGGACCGGACCGTACTTTCAAATACGTTTTTCTCGAAAACGGTGGACTTTCGGACCACCAAACATTTACTTAGTTTTCTTATTTTATAGTTCCTTATCACTTCCTGTAAGAGTGCTACTTGCTACACCCTGTATAGTATATACTATAAACAATATTGTTACAGATTCTGGCTGTAACGTATGTACCAGTGGAGGGATTCAACAATTCTCAAGAACAGTTAAGTTCTGGGCCCATACTGGTCTTGGACAAAAAAACGCTTTACATAACAAATCTCAAGTATAACACAAAAATCGCGTCTAACTTTTGGGTAGCTTATGGGAAAAATATTACCGTTGCGCCAAACGAAGAAGGCCTTTACGAGCCTTTTACTGGCTACGGAGGAGAAAATATCTATATAACATTGCCGTATCCTTTATCAGAAAATGCTCCAACATACTTTGGAATATGGGAGAATAAAACCAAAAGGGCTGTTGCCAGTACCACAATTCCCAAAAATGTTGCAGTACCCGAAGCGAAAGGATATGACAGAAATGATGTGAGTCAAAAATAAAAAGTACAGTTAGAATTCATTTTATAATTTTGGGGGAAGTATTTATAAAGTATTAATAGATAAAAAACATACGAAAATGTTTTGTTTTTTGTTTTATTTATTTGTATGATTTTGTGCAGAAGAGATATGAAATAATTGAAATTGTTAGATGGAATTAAAGAAACGTTAAACAATTTAAAAACCAACAGCTTTTCAGTAAACGTAAATTTTAGGCAGAAGGTAGAAGAATTATAAGGGTTAAGAAATGTTGTCCGTTGGGAGAAGCATTTTCCGAACAGGGCTGTCAGAAAACCACTCAAGGATTTCACCCTGCATTCGAAATATTGGATAACAATAAAACGCACGTTGACGATACACCCTTGAAAGAAGGATCGATGAACATCCAGCCGTTTTATAGTATTACTCCATGTCCAAAGTAAGAATTTCTTTAATGTGTGCGTGTGTAGTAGGGTGGCCGATTTTTTCTAAATATTATTTCCTTTCTCGATTCTGCATGAAACAGACTAACGTAAGAAGCGACTGTTATTTAAAAATCTTTAAAAGATTGTAGTATATTTTACTTATATATACTAACAATTGTTGAACAATCCTTAAAAAGTTTTTAAACAAATCAAATTTTGGGTAAACCAATTGCACAAAATCAAGAAGTTTCCTTCTATTTCACACGTTTTATAATTATTACAAAAATATATGTTCCTGGTTAGTGTTTTGTCAAAATTTTCAGACGTGGATTACGATTTCCAATTCCTTGATTCTCAGCAGCACGCCGTTTTTATTCTTTGACATTTTGTTAAAATTTCTATAGATTTTCCCAACAATCAACAATGTAGCAACCATTTTTATCCTGGAATTCAATTTGTATTTTTGTGTGTGTATAGTTTTTGCAATATTTCAATAGGAATATTACCTCAAATATTGCAATATACGTTTATTTTAGAGCAGGTATATCCCCTGAGTTATTTTCTCACTGTAGTCACTAACGGAGAACCACATGAACACCGTTTAGGGATTCCCCAAAGGTTATGGTTTCCTACTTTAACATTGCCATAAGGGCGATAGGATAATAAATACACTAACTAAAAGCGCGAATACAGAGTAGTGAACGCCATCTGTTGCAATTTACTACTTATCGTAGAATTCATAATATTCTTAATAATAAGATTCTTTGTTAATAAAGATGTGGCATTATAACTGACACTCACCATTTGACTAATATTTAATTTTATTGTAGGGGAGCACTCATTCCAGGTGTCGATTCGTTTATTTTATTGAGCAACGGTTCACTTGTTATTCCGGATATCAAAAAAATCTTGACGCAAGATGAATTTTGCATCGAAACTGTTTATATGGAGTTCGAAAATTCGTCAATGTCATGGACCACAACGGCCTTCACCTGCTTCCAGGGCGAAGTGCTTCGCGGCGGGAATGGATTCCTTATAGTTATAGGAATAGGTAACAATAAAAACGAAAAAACAAAGACAATAAGTGACACAGTTACAAATCTGTCGCAACCAAAAACGATTTAAATGTTTGACTACGGTTTTTTCACTATTCAGGGTGTCATTTATTTTGAGACAGA